AGCGATGGGGAAGAAGCTGGGGGGGCAGGCAGGGGGGCAGTAGCGGTCCAGGAAGCCCCTGACGTTGAGGCCGAAGTCAGTGGTGCGGGGCAGGTAGTCGGGGTCGGCGCTCACCCGGCCGATGATCTGGGGGAGAGTGGGAGGGAGGAGAAGGCTCAGCCCCAAGAGCGGAACCAAAAGCCAGTGAGGACCCCAGCTCCAAGGGGAGACCTCAACCCCAACGGGGAGACCTCAACCCCAATGAGAACCCCTCAACTGGAGATTTCAACCCCAACGGAAAGACCCCAAGCCCAAAGGTACTTGCCTCGCACAGGACGATGCCAAAGGAGAAGATGTCCACCTTCTCGTCGTAGCTCCTCCCTGTGGGAAGAGACGGGTCAGGCCATGCTGCACGTCCTGTCCCTGCCCCACCAAGCGTCCCCTGCTTGGGGACAGAGCCCTGGCTGGCCATGTCCCCCCTCCCAGCACTGCAGCCAGGCTCACCATTGATCATCTCAGGGGCCATCCAGTAGGGGTTCCCCACCACGGTGTACCGCTTCTTACGGTCTGGTTTCTTCAGGTTCTTGAGATGTTCGGGCTGGTTCTTCTCATCCACCATCAGACGTGCCAGCCCAAAATCAGCCACCACCACACTCTTGTTCTGGATGGATGGAGAGGGGTGAAGCATGGTGGGAGCCACACAGGGGGCTGAGACTCCCCCCCCCGACCCGGACCAGGGGAGGACACCACTGAGGTGGGACTCACCTCCCGCACGAGGCAGTTGTGAGAGTTGAGGTCACGGTGGATGATGTTCATGGAGTGGAGGTAGGCCTGGGGGGAAGGATGGGCTGAGAGCAGGGAGTACCCCCACCCCGCAGCCCCCCCCACTGACCAGCACCCATCCCACCTACCCATCCCCCAGCGGCACTCACCATGCCAGCGGCGATGTCCTTGGCAAAGCTGACCCGCTGGCTCCAAGGGTAGTGGCTGTCCTGGGGGCAGGAGAAGGGGTTTGCCAGAGAAGAGGAGGGGGGTCCCCCAGCCCCAGTGGGGCTTGGAGCAGGGGGAGCAACCGGTCCCACCAGTGCTCACCATGCTCTTGATGAGGCCCCTCAAGGTGCCTCCCTTGATGTACTCTGTGATGAAGTTGAGCCTCTTCTCCTTGTACAGCACCCCGATGAACTTCAGCACATTGGGGTGCTCCAGGCAGCGCATCACCTTCACCTGCAGGACC